GTGTGGAGCTTGGGAAGCCCCGATGCAGGAATTAGTAAAGAATATGAATTTAGAACATAACCAGGATACACTGGGACATCTTATTCCAAAGCTAGCACATTTCTTCCGAGACTGAAACATTACCTAATAACTTATTCAATTAAAAATCAAATGGATCCCAGAGTAAATGTTCTAGTCATTTCCCCTCTTTTATTTTCTCTGGATTCAGTGATCCGAAAGCTCCTTTATGATCCCTGGGTTGGGGGGACCCAGGGGCTGCCGTCCTGGGGCCCTCTTTCTCTCAAGAAAATCTCCCAGGTCAATAACCTTTTATTTCTGACCTTTTAACCGGCTCTAGTGGGCCATGAAACCCTAAATGCCATTTCTTTCAGATTCCTGGGAAGCGCCAAGTCTCTTGAATCTAATTCTCCAGGGAAGTTTTACTCCCATGTATTCAGGTCATTGATCGTGCAATAACAGCCTAAAGTCATTTGTGCGAGTCATTTCTCCAGGGAGGGAAAAGTGTCTGCTGAATAGGAGGAAGGGTGAGGTCGCCAGACAGCTAGGGCCTCGCCAAAGACAGGAAGCTCCCGTGTGTATGGTCTGGGAGACCTGGAGAAGCATTACTACAGGGACGAGGCTCATCATCCTGGTGGAAGAGTTTGGAAGACTAATCAGAAGGTGAGTTGCAGACCCGGCCTGGTGGCATAAAAGGTGGAAGCCTCATCCTGCAGTGCTGGCATCCCATACAGGTGCTGGTTTGAATCCTGACTGCTCCATTTCTGATCCAGCCCCTTGCTAATGGCCTGGGAAAGCAGCAGAAGATGGACCAAGGCCTTGGGCCCCTGCATGCATGTGGGACACCTGGAAGAAGCTCCTGGCTTTGGATCGGCCCAACTCCGGCTATTGCTACCATTTGAGGAGTGAACCTCTATGTATTTCTGCCTTTCAAATAAAGAAATAAACTTAAAAAAGGAAGGTAAGTTGCTGCTTACTCTGACCATGTAATTTTTATGCAGAGAGCCTGTGGGCAACAAACGGGGCTTAAAGAAGCAAACAGTACCTATTCTTAAGTGTGCATCTGATTGCAAACAGGCTTATGAGCTTGACGTGATCGGGATAGAGACACTATAGGTAATAACAGTTGCTGGAAATGTTTGAAAACGACCTGAAGCTGCGGCATGAGCCTGACCTGCAAAACAGTAACAGCACAGCTCAGACTGCAGAGATTAGTCCAGTCCTCTCAAGGGACTTGAAGGCCCATACTGAACAAACGATCATTTCTATACGATTTGATGAAATGAATATCTTGTTACCAATTAGAAAATCAGTATTTTTCCTAATCAATTCCCAAGACCTTATAGGGGCTGGCCGGTGTCGCAGCTCACTTGGCTAATCCTCTGCCTGTGGTGCTGGCACCCCGGGTTCTAGTCCCAGTTGGAGCGCCGGATTCTGTCCCGGTTGCTCCTCTTCCAGTCCAGCTCTCTGCTGTGGCCCGGGAAGGCAATGGAGGATGGCCCAAATGCTTGGGCCCTGCACCCGCATGGGCGACCAGGAGGAAGCTGTAGCTGCCATTTCGGGGGTTGAACCAACGGAAAAGGAAGACCTTTCTCTCTGTCTCTCTCTCTAACTCTGCCTGAAAGACCTTATAGGGGTCAACCAACATCTGCATTCTACCCGACAGGCTCTGTTGCTGTTTAGCTGTACAATCTGGGACTCTACAGCTTACTCGGCATCTGTGCAATGGCAATGTTACCTACTGGTCTAAACCTCCAGGTTGTTGTGGCGACATCATAGATGCTCAAACACCATATAAACAATGAAAGCAATTATGCCCATTATGTCCTTCAAATTTATTTAAATTTTCTTGCCAATGGCAATGAGTTTCACAAGCACACTCAACCATGTGAATGGTTCTTCCTCACCCTCTACCTTTTGGGGCAGTGCATGTGTTATGTGTGCGTGTGTATGTGTGTGTGTGGCAGGTGACATATGGCAGTGGCAAAGCTTACATTTGTGTCTTTCAAACTGTATTGTGAACCTGAAATACAATATCTTTATCATTTTACTCATTAAAAAGAGTTATCTTTGAAAATATATTGGTTTTATAGCTTGAACGACTGAAAAATAAGCTGATCAATATAACTTCATAATCCAGCAGTTATCTCTGTGTTTATTGCTTCAATCATACTTTTATTGTACTCCATAACAGGATATTGAATGAACATTCAGCGTTTATGAAAACCTTATGTGAATTGTTCATCTTCCCTGAGGCATGTTGGCTACCCTGCTGTGTGAAATGTGACTTATGTTCCTTTCTTCTATTTTATAAATGGAAGAGAACTGGAAAATTATTCAGGAAAAGCATTGTCAGTGGCAGAGCAATGATTTGGGCTGGATCACTGCTGGGCTTGGCAAATTAATCTTCACCTCAGTGGTAGATAGGTTCACATTTAGTGAATGATTTGTAGCTCTCAACAGGTGCTGGGTTATGGCTAATTTGATCAGGCGATTAAACTTGGTTTCATTGAAATATGCGGCACTCTGGCTGCCTTAAACCTTTGCCTCAGGCTTTTCTTCCGTGCCAAGGGTCGGGGGGAGTCTCTTCATTGTTGAAGTGGCTGGTGAACGCCCAGAGAAGCCTCCTGCTGTGAGTGACTTTGCCTCCAGATACATCGTTTTCATCTCATTGAGATTAAACTATTCCATTGCATTTCCTAAAAACAACTCCATAATTGAATATGCCAGTGATGCACAAACACATTTGTGTTGCAAAATATTCAAAAATACATAAAAATCAAAGCTCTCCTGCCAAATTGTCCTGTTCCCTTCTCTCTAATGAATTGGGGCTATTCCCCACCCCCTTTTCTCTGTGCATTTACAGTTAAATGTGATGTGAAGCTACTTCCAAAAGGTCATGGAAATACATATAAGGAACAAAAGACACTGCATGAGTTTCAAGGTTTTTTGCACCAAAATAAACTTAACTTTTACCAAAATAAACTTACCTTTTAATTTCATGTTTCTGTGAACTTTCTGAAGTACACTTGTATGTGCATATAGAAAAATACATTTTGTTTTGCTTTGGTATATGTGTATACATATTATATTTGCTTACTAATTTGTTTTTTCTTTCCTGAATATATATTTGAGAACTTTCCATGTCACTATACAACTATATATTTTTTAAACTACTAAATTGTGGTTTTTTATTATTATTTTTTAAAAGTTTGATTTTATTGGAAAGGCAGAGTTACACACACACACACACACACATACACACACACATATATATATATATAGGGAGAGAGAGAGAGAGAGAGGAGAGAGAGATATCTTCCATTTGCTGGTTCCCTCCCCAAATGGCCACAATGGCAGAGACTGGGCCAGGAGCCTGCAACTCCATCCAGGTCTCCTATATGGGTGCAGAGGCCGGAGCATTTAGGCTCTTTTCTGCTGCTTTTCTAGGTGCATTAGCAGGGAGCTGGATGGAAAGTGGAACAGCTGGGATTAGAAGCAGTACTCCTACAGGGTGGTGGCCAGTCCCACATAGTGTTCTAAAATGTAAATGTATAATAGTTTACTTAAACTTCTAATTTTTAATATTTAGAAATACTACTATAATTAATATCCTTATATATACAAAATGTATAAGAGGAATTTATGAATGGAAGGGTATGAAGATTTGAAGGGAAAGATAGGTATAAGCTACATGTTGGCCATGTTGTATCCATCTCGTTTGTGGTGAAAAAAGATTCTGGTTTCCATTTCTGTTTTCACAGTCTTTTCCCCCAAATCTCCTTTGAGGCTGTGCTTGTGTTCATCAGCAGCTGAAGGGATACATTGTGACTCAAAATAACACTATCCTGGAGCCTGTGGGTTACAGGGCTTTGGAACACTGAGCAGCAAAGACAAGTACAACGCAACACTGCCCACATGAGTACTCCCAGTTCCTCTGGGAAGAACGCTCCTTTGAATAAAATTACCTTGGACTTGGAGGAAGCCTGAGAATGCTTTGCTCTCCTGTTCTGAGCTGGCAGAGGGGGCTGAGGGCAAGGCGATGGTGGAGACACAGCCTGTGTCATCTTCTCAGGAGGTCCCAGGTTGTGGGTGCTGGCCTGGGAGGGGTGGAGGCCCTGCGCTGAGGATAGTGTCCTGCGGCTTCCATCCAGTTCTCCTAAGCACCAGTCAAGTGGGTAGTGTGGTTACAGAGGCCTCCCCTCTAGGAAGAAAGACACTGTGCCAAGTAGGTGCCTTCTCTCCTTTCCAGTTGACCACTGAACTTACTTTCACCATTGATAACACATGTTCTGGCCTTGTGGTACAGGCAGTGAAGTCACTGCTTGCTAAACCCTCATCCCATATGGAAAACCGATTCTAGTCCCGGCTGCTCTGCTACTGATCCAGCTTCCTGCTAATGCGCCTGGGGAAGGCAGCAGGTGATGACTCAAGTACTTGGGCTCTTGTTACCCATGTGGAAGATCCAGGTAAGTTTCTGGCTACTGGTTTCAGCCTGGCCCAGCTCTGGTTTTTGCAGCCATTTGATGAGTGAACCAGTAGGTGGAAGATCTCTTTATCTCTCTATCTGTTGCTCTTCCTTTTAAATAAATAAATCTTTAAAAAAATTGACACTGCAGTAGGTCAGTGGGACCAATTTCTTTTTAAAAAAGATTTATTCATTAATTTAAAGGCAGAGCCACAGAGAAAGAGGGAAAGATAGATAGCAAGAGAGAGAGAGGGAGAGAGATCTTCCATCTCCTGGTTCACTCCCCAAATGGCTGCCAAGGCCAGAGCTGGTCCAGACTGAAGCCAGGAGCCAGGAGCTTCCTCCTGGTCTCCCATGTGGGTGCAGGGGCACAAGCACTTGGGCTATTTTCTGATATTTTCCCAAGCATGTTGGCAGAGAGCTGGATCGCAAGTGGAGCAACCAGGAATTGAATCAGTCCCCTTAAGTGATGCTGGTGCTGCAGGTGGCAGCTTAACCTGCTACTTACAGCACCGGCTCTGGACCAATCTTTTTTTTTTTTTTTTAAAGAAGAATCATTACATAGTAAAGAAGTCCAAAATAAGTTGGGGAATATACACGCTGAAAATGGCACAGTGGAGACAGTAGATGATAAATGTAATAATCATGTTAGCTCACATGTACTGAACGTATATTGTGGGCCAGACACTGTGTATTATTTTATAGCTCATTGGAACCTTCTAGCAGTCTTCTATCCTGTTTTATAGGTAAAGAAACTCATGCTCAGGGAGGAAATATACCCAGATCAATCACACGTCTTGGAAGTGGTCGGCTTTTGCATCTTGAGCATGAGCTCACAACCAGTATTATGCTGTAATTCTTCTCACTCTTGCCTCACTGAGGGTTCCCAGGCAGAATGTTTTTCCTGAATGCACCAATGATCTGCCCCAAATCCCTGACTCAGCTCAACAGCGTGACCGGGTGTACCTGTAGGTCTCCAGGCTGTAAACTCTGGAGAAGTAGAAGCCAATTCTGGTCCAAGTATCAGATGTAATCCTTGAGAGGAGAGAGATGATTTCCAAAGCTGTAATATCTTGAGAAAAATATTTTCCAGGTTCAACTTTCTGGGTAACTTTACTTACCAAGTAAATGACTGTTTCCTGCCAGGAGCAAAAGCGTCTCTAGGAGTGATATGAAAAAAGCAATCATCTTGAGTATTGAGTTTGTCCCGAAGGTAATCAACTGGAGTTTTGGGTTCCTGGCCATGTCTTGTGACCTGGGGAATGTCATACAGACAGCACCCTGAACAAGGGGGAAGGGCTGTGGGTAGTAGAGGAGTGTCCTTTCCTCCTGGACCTGAGACACTGGACAGTGGGGAGCCACGTCTTCCTGATCTTGGGGAGGATAAGCAGCTGCTCTGTCCCCGGGAGCCCCTGGCCACTCTGGTTCTATAAACTAGACTTGGAGAGTGACTCTGCATTCAGCTTTCGGCTTGTGCTTCAGGTTCATGCGCATTCTAATTACTTCCATTTCTTTCCACCCACTATTTTGGCTGCCTTTGACCTCTTGCTATTCTCAGGGGACCTGAATCATCACATATAAAAATAAAATCTCTACAGGGCTTCTGTTCCTGGGGATGCCACATTGAGACACGAGGCTGTGGGTGACTGATGGCTCTAGGCCACTCCACAGCTCCAGCGTCCACTGTTCATTGCAAAAACGTACTCTCCTGCCAGTTTCCTGCCAGAACCCACGTGAATCAAAGTGTCAGTTTCTTGACTACAATCACATTTTTTTTCTTTCTGCAAACATATTTTCAAGAGGGGGTCTGCCAGACCCTCCTCATGTCCCTGGGGAGGTGGAGGAGCCGTGCGTCCCTGACACTGCAGGGGGAGATAATTATCCCTCCTTCTGCCACACTCCCTCCTGGATTCTGTGCTTGACTGTGCCTGGCGCTGAGAAGAGCAGAACTCACTTTGGCGGCTCCTAGGGGCACACTGTCCAGAACTGCGTGGAAGCCACGAGGAAGTTTGGGACCTAGGGTAGAAGGACTCCAGCTGCGTGTGTTGTAAAAGGCCAGGGTCTCAGTCAATGTGATGGAATTTATTCCTCTCCTTACATTCCCCTAACACACACCATACACTCATAATGTACATGCACACACATGCACACACTCACATGTGTGCACACATGTCTCTAAGTGAGACTCAAGGTCACGTTTGTACCGGCGTTATGTAAAATAAAGCAACCTGGGGCTGGCGTTGTGGTGTGGTAAGTAACACTGATGCCTGTGATGCCAGCATCCCGTAGGGGTGCCTGTTTGAGTCCCGGCTGCTCTACTTCTGATCCAGCTCCCAGCTAATGGTCTGGGAAAGCAGCAGAAGATAGTCTAAGTAGTTGGGCCTCTGTACCCATGTGAAAGACCAGGCAGAAGCTCCTGGCTCCTGGCTTTGGCCTCGCCATGCCTTGGCCATTGTGGCCATTTGGGGAGTGAACCAGAGGATGTCCTTCTCTTCTGTAACTGCCTTTTGAATAAAGAAGTAAATATGTAAAATAATAAAATAAAACAATGCAACATCTTCCTTTTTTTTCTGTCTCCTAGGTAAGTCTACGTGTGCTTGAATTCTTTTAGTTGGGGGGGACATAAATAGGGGAGACTGTATCTCCTTCATTTTGCCAATAGCAGGGTGAGGATCTCTCAGGCAGATGCCCCTGTGAGTTACTTTCATACATCTTCCCAGCGTGGAAAAGGAAACTGATGCTCTCATTCAATTGTTCTCCCTGCTTCCCCTCCCCAGGTTTTATGACAAGTCCAGAAAAGGGGGGCAAGCCCATGTTTAAGCTTTTGGTTGACCATTTCTTTGTGATTCCTTCAAGCCTTAACAATTTCCCATTATCTCAGCCTTACCAAGATAATTGAGGGGGAATAGCAAGCCTCCAGGGGCTGTGTAGTCAGGGGGTGAGTGGGTAGGAAGAGAGTGAGCTGGCAATGAGCGACTGAACACGCAGCCTCACACACAGCCTCACCTACGGGCCTCCGCTCCGACTTCACAGCCAGCCACTGTGATTTACAACCCAGTGTCTCACGCCTTTGCACCTTGCACCCCTCAGACGCGAAGGATGGAAGGCATGAAAATGTCATTTATTACTCACCTCGACGTCGTGTAGGTTTTTAAGTGATTCCCTTGGACATCAGAGCAAGCTGCCCTTGACAGATGACTTTGCTACTGTACTTGATTTCAAGCTCCCACCAAGGAGTGTCAAGAAAATCTGTTATGTGTTAAATGGTTATGGAACTTCTGCCCCTACCTGTGACTCCACCGCATACCCGACCAACGAATAAATCAGGCCCAAGTCTTTTCACCACACACTCTAAAATGAAGCAAGCACAAGGGACATTTTCCAAGCCAACATCTGGACCCATTGTTCAGGAAGAAACTTAGCAGGTAGCGGTCAGGAATATTTGGGAGAGTATTCTCTGTGATGTGAGGTGGCAGCAGAGCTGCCTTGCCCATTTGATGCAGACAAATGGCATCAGAGGAGCTTTAAAGCTATCTAGTCACCTGCTGAGGGGATTGAACCATCACACAGAGGCGCTGCTTCCACCAAATGGCTCAGCTTCCAGAAATAGCCTCTGACAAGAAGAGAAAAATCTCAACAATCAGCCTGAGTTCTGTCTCTCTTGACGTTTCTGTATTAGTCAATCCAAGGAAGGTATTTTCTGGAAAGAAATATTCTCATGTCCAGCAGACATGGAAATCTGCAACTAAGAAGTCATTTTTAAATCTTTTTCTCTTCTCTCTTTCCCCTCTGCACCCCTTTGCTTTGTCTCCCACTCCCTCATCTCTCTTCCTCTTTCCCTGCTACCCCCTGTGCTCTCTCCCTGTCTTCCGGAAGATAGGGCCACTGTGGGCACATAGATGGTGCTAAATTAACATTTTTCATCTTGATCTGCTTGGGGAAAATGCCTGTTTGAACATGGCAACAGCAGGATGCTCTCAACGAGGTTGTGCTGTGCTGCTCTGTGTGTGTATGGTGGGACCGAGGGTGGGAGGAAACTTCCAGTAGGACAATTCAGCCTTTTGCTGGGAAAGGAGAAAAAGGGGTGTGAGAAATGAGCACCCATGAGGAGCCTCAAGAGCTGGATTCCTGGGGCCAGCGCTGTGGGGAAGCAGGTTAAGCTGCTGCCTATGTGATACAAGAGTATCACAGGGCAGGTTTGAGTCCTAGCTGTTCCACTTCTTCGCCAGCTCCCTGCTAATGTGCCTGGGAAAGTAGTGGAAGATGATCCAAGTGCTTGAGTCCCAGCCGCTCACATGGGAGACCTGGAGAGAGTTCCTGGCTCCTGGCTTTGGCATGGCCTAGCCCTGGGTATTGCAGCCAGTTGGGGAATGAGCTAGCATGGAAGATCTATTTCTCTCTCTCTCTCTTTCTCCCCCCACCCCCTTTCCAATAAAGAAAATAAATCTTAGAAAAAAGTACAACTGGATTCCGGGGCTGAGCCTCTGCAAGCCCCACAGGGGACATTTGTGAGAGACTGAATATATAGCTTCTCAGAGGAAGCTTTTTTACTTTTAGAATTCAGAACCAAATGTCAGCTTTGTTCCTGTTTGGAGAGCATTACCCACAGTGCCTTGTGCCTGATGATGACATTAGTAGAGTTTTCAAAATTATCCTGAAAATAATCAGTTGGCTGACATCTGGGCATGTTTGATTAGGTGAGGAAGAATGCTGAAGTGACTCATTCTTATGGAGTGAGGGAGGGTATCCTGCTTTGTACCTCCTTCTATCTTCCCCTTCTTCTTTGGGAGGCGAAGAGTTCGACATTTAATGTTTTAGAAAACCGACATGTGGTAACACCAACACTATATTGGTTTCCTGGCCTCAAGAAAGGAAATTTCTGGATGTGAAAAGCTTGACATTCTTAGGGTTTTCTGAAAAAAGATGAAAGTGTTTATGGCATTTTGAAACGTTTTATCTTTGGGAATTTTTTTTTTTAATTTACTTACTTATTATAAAGGCAGAATGACAGAGAGAAGGAGAGACAGAGGAAGAGAAAGCTCTTCTATCTGATGGTTCACTCCCTAGATGGCCACAATGGCTAACGCTAGGCCAAGCTCAAGCCAGGAGCCAGGAACTCCATCTATGTCTCCCACATGGGTGGCAGGGACCCAAATACTTGGGTCATCTTCTGCTGCTTTCCCAGGTGCATTAGCAGGGAGTTGTAATGGAAGTGGAGCAACCGGAAGTTGAACTGATTCTCATATTAGAGATGCTGGCATTGCAGGCAGTGGCTTAACCCGCTGCACCACAAGGCCAGCCCCCAGGGAAATTTCAAACACAAGTGGAGCAGAGTACATTGGCCTCATCCTCCATCACAGTTATCAACACAAGGAGATGGTGCTTCCTTTAGTCTCCATTCTTCTCTCCCACTCTCAACAGGATCTCAGGGCATCCTGTTACTTCATCTGCAAATACTTCCCTATGTGTCTCTGAGAGCTATGATGTTCTCTCTCTGTCTTAATCCCACCCACAATGTTGTGATCACACTGTTAAAAAATCCCAACAGGGGCTGGTGTTGCAGCTGGAGGGTAAGGACGCTGCCTGTGATGCTAACATCCCATGTGGGCACTAGTTTGAGTCCTGGCTGCTTCACTTCTGATACAGCTCCCTGCTGGTGGTCTGGGAGAGGCAGCAGAGGATGGCCCAAGTGCTTGGGCCCCTGCACCTACATGGGAGGTTTTGATGGGGCTCCTGGCCCCTGGCTTCAGCCTGGTCCAGTCTGGGCCATTGTGACCATCTGGAAAGTGAGCCAGCAGATGGAGGATCTCTTACGCTCTCTGTCTCTCCCTTTCTCTGGGTTACTGTGACTTTAAATAGATAAATACATCTTAAGAATATCCCAACAGTAATCCTTTAACATCATCCCTATTCCATTGTAGACTTTTTGATTTGAGTGGTGGAGAACTACCAGGTTGGCGAGGAGTGGTGGTCCCCTGGTGGGTCCCTGGGCATCACATCATTGCTGATATTAGATGATGTTCATAGGTGTAATTAGACTTGTGACCTTTTCAGGTCCAGATAGCAACTAATGAAAATGCAAAACAAATGCAAAAAAAATAAACTAATCAAAAACCCCACATTCCAACTTAGCAATTCTGCTCAGGTGTCACCTTTTCTCTTATTCCATGACAAGTTACTATTCTGCAATTCTCCAAAACCATCCTTGACCCTGTACTGTCCAGTCACTGACAAAGCATCGGTACTGACAGCATG